TTTGGGCGCTATTTAACCAATTTTTCCCATAAAGAGTTGGTATGTTTTCCATAAAGAGTTGGTACAAAACATACTACAAAACCTGCCAGTTTCCCATAAAGAGCTAGTATGTTATGCGCTATTTAACCAATTTTTTATATTTAAAAAAATTTATGAAAATTAAAATAACATATTTGAAAGTTGCGTTTTTATTTGGCAGAACGCATTCCTTGGATGCATTTTTCACCCTTTGGGAAGAGACTCAAAAATCGCCACCTTTTGGGAAGTTAGTTTAAAAACTCCCTCTTTTTGGGAATTTACTCCTTATTAATGCACCCACTATATTTATTTTCTAGTATTAATTTTTTTTATGGTTTATGATTTTCTTATGTTTTATCAAAAAGTTAATAACTATTGTAGTTATAATTATGGAGATGTTAATTTGTCGCATGTGTAATTCTTTTGTTTTATAAGAATTATTATATCAGGGGTAAATTTAGAATTCAATTGCATTTAATTCCGAAACACTCATCAAACCAAGCATCAAGAATTAGAATGATGTTAATTCTAATGTGTGAACTATATTAGATATTGGAATGAAAAGTTTAATTCCAAAACTAGAGTCTATGATTCTATTTCTATTTCCGATTTCAATATACGAAACAAGCACCCCTTTAGTGGGCTACCAAGAGAGATTTGGCAAGTTCCTCTTATCCCATACACAAGTTTCATTAGCTTCCCCTTATCCTCTATCTAGGGAGTAATATATAGTCGGAATGGTACATGAATTGTTGCATGAAGGAAAGAAAAATAAAGACGAGTATCCATTTTGACTTTCAATCTGCAGATGCAAACCGTTCGAAAGTGTAAACATAAAATATTAAAATCTCGTCATCATTAGTGTAAACGACAATAGGATCAAGAACTGTATCCATATGGCTAAGCAACATATTAACAGCTTTTTAGCAATAGGATGCTGAAAAGTAACTTGATCGAGCAGGAAAATGAAAAGTTAACCATTGGGCTTTGGTCCAGTTGCTAGAGACAGTCTCTTAGAATTTTTTTCTCATGTACTAGATTAGGGGGGTTCAAACTCGGTCTAGTGCATCACAAAGAAGTTTCATTGCTTCCTTTGTTCAAAAAATTTAGGAAGGATACATCAAAAAAATCCAGAGAGTGCAGTAGTGCACTCCCTCTTCCCCATAAAATAGAAGTAGTATAGATTATTGCTATTAGACAAGGAAAAAAAAAAGACTAGGAAAAAGAAAAGCAAACATCTCTGACTTAAAAAATTTTATTGTACTAAGATCCCACGGCAAAATAATGTAGAAAATGTAGCCTTTGGGAGGGACTAAGACCTGCTATTCTGTCCCAAAGGGAGAAGTAGAGTAGAGCTGTCTGAACCAGTGATGTGACGAGGATGATGGTTTTAATGTTATTCAATAAATGACGACCGGACAATGTCATAATTCCTTATAGCATAAAACTTTTATTCGACTTTTTTATCCCACAGGTTTTAGCATCTGCACCAAGAACACGAATGGTTGTTAGCAATAATCATTCTGAACAGTATAATATTTTTTGAACAAGGTATAATTTTACATGAATTACTTGTAAAACTTAACAACAAAGACACAATTATTATATATGGGACATGCATGAATAAAAACAAAGTATCGCACCTCTGTTGTAAGGATGTATAAGAAGTTTATATAGAATTTCAAAATGTTCAAAAAATATTACGTCTACCTTCCCTGAAGGTTGATTAAATTATCAAATGAACCCTGTGATTTGAGCAAATTGCATTTATACCCTTGCAAGTAATAGCGTCTAAACTCAACAAACGGTAGTAGTGAAATGACAAATTTGCACCTTGCAAAATACTACATTTATCGCCCTTGAAATTTGTCCAAATTTAGAAAAGTTCCTATGTTTGACCACAATGCAATTTAACATTTCAATAGCCAAATACTTTATAAAAAAAATTGCTTTAATGTGATCCAAGAAAAACGAAACCTAAATTAAAAGAACTAAATCAATTACTAACGACTAAGAAATGAGCAAATAAAAATAAAATGAGAAAACATCTTAATTTCTTCTTTTTGTGACTGACTTATTTCAATTGTTACCATGCGCTTTCAACCCACTTTTTCCATTATACTATAATATATATATATATATATAAAAGTAATTTGTTGTGTGAAAATAGTATTTAGCTACACTATATGAATTTTTATCCATAACATAATACTAAATTTTTATCCTTAATTCTTAATAAGTGTCTTTTTAGGAATTTTACTTCTGATTTCCAAATGGAAGCCTTTGTATGAAAACCTTAACATTCAGTGCTTATTAGAGGATGTAAAGCAATAGGTTTTCTATTTTGGAAAAAAGAGTTTGATTATTTATACATTCACATGAAAAAGAACTCTTAGTATAGAGAATGTAACGCTAGTATAAAGTTGTATAATTATAGTCCTTACATTACATGTATCGGATGATAAAGGTATTTAGTGATTGTTCATTAGTTGTAATTGGGAAGAATGGAAACTGAGAATAAAAAGTGATTGAAAGAGTCAACACCATCTCGCCCTTTTTGTACTTTTATCAATAGAGGTTTAAACAATACATTATTTTTATATTTTTTTACACTAATCTTTCTAACTTTACGTATTCATGAGGGGATACTTGTACTATATTTTTTTGGGATAATTTCAGAAACCTCCCCTTTCTCATAATATCACTCAGCTCCCCTGAGATTTTTAAAATCTCATTTACTTCTCTTAAATTGACATTTATTGTAACATTTTAGCCCCTTTGAAGGAAATGCAAGAAAGATAAAACTTTTATTCCAGTACTATCTTTATGTTATCCTACTTATAAAGTTTCCAACAACAATAAAAAATACAATAAGGTTAACTTTTTATAACATGTGAATTTCTCCACTTAAACTATTTATTTTAGTTGTTTTGAAACAAAGCAAAATTTACACCTTGAAGAATTCACATATATGAAGAGATTATTTTAATTTTTCAATACAAGTTAAACAACATCATGTATTCAATGTAATTTCTAAGAAAATTTCTTGACTTTCATATAACTGTTTACGAAAGTTTTCAAGGTGTTAATTACACCAAAATCCTCCTAAGTGGTTGATTTTAACTAGATTTAAGTTATCCATGTCCTTTGCAATCTCACCATGATCTCGATATAAAGAAATATAGACCATTATCAGATAACAATTTTTTTTTTGTTCTAATCTACATTTTTTGGTTTAAAAATTTTATTTTGTTTTGATTTTTTGGTTGAATAGTTATTAAGAGTAAGGGTAATATTGTGGATTTGTGACATCTGATAAGAATATTTAGTCTTATCAAGTTGACACGAGAGGCAAGTGAGATTTTAGAAACCTCAGAGGAGTTGAGTGATATTATGAGAAACCTCAGAGGAGGTTTCTGGAATCATCCCTATTTTTCTACTAAAGTTGCTGCTACTACGAAAATAATACACTAGAGAGATGTATGTATTATTGGACTATTTTTATACGGGGCAAAGAACGGTTTTAGGTTAGGTTTTTGTTTATTTTCAATTGTTTAAATTGGAGTAGATTACAATGTAGGAAAAATTAGATTGTTGTATCTAAGAAGCAACATATTGAGACCTAATACATAAATAATACTATATAAGGGCGTGAATCGTTTGAAAAATAGCGATCTAATTCATGCCTCCTCTTATCATGTCATAATTACTTGAACGAAACTAATTATTTTATTTTTATGTTACATCGATGAAAGATGAATTTTGTTCATCTTCTATTTGAATTTAATGTTGGAAAGTATTTATAATTACTTAATTACACTTGGCGTAGAACCAATTGGTTATGAGGAAAACATCTTCTGCTACTAGAATAGTATTACCCTCAATTTAACGAGTGCGAGAGTTTCAGGTACTATCCTCATCCACCAAGCTTCACAAACAAACTGAAAACATAGCAGAACAGAAATGCATCCATAATGGTGAAGAAGTACTTGTAAATATCAATAGTGCAAGACCAGCTAAGTACTTGTAAAAATCAATAGTGCAAGACCAGATGTACAACCGCCTTTGTATTTCATCTAGGATAAAATGCACAGAAAGATTCTTCAGCTCTAGGCTACGATACTTGATTAGGCATTTCTCTGCTGTAACAGCTTCCCGCTACTCTGCAGTCCAGTATTTCAATGGCCTTTTCAGACTTTAAATGAAGGATACTTTAAACCAAAAAAAGTTGCTTTCAATTGATAACAATTAACAAAATAACACCATCTCCTAGTGTCACCTTCATCGCCCAAGAATTAAATAAAGAAATATATGTGCTGCAAAGGGCATTCCAAGGGAAAGCAAAGTGGAGAAGAGTCAGATGTAGATGATCTTTTCAAAAGAAAGAAAAATGAAAACCAAAATTAGTCGTATTTGTTTAGATATTACAAATCTAGAAATTTAATAGAATATTACACTGTGAAACTCCAAAAATATTAAAAAATAAAACACTTATTGCCCCAATATCATCTATGCATGCTTCCAATGCTTTTGTTCTCCCAGATCTGCTAATGAGCTGATTTAAATTCAGATGTTAAAGTGAGATCTAACGAGGTAGATCTAAAAGATTTCAGATCCGACAACCAAATATGCAAAAACTTAGATCTAATGCAAAAAAAAGCAAAAAAACTACAAAAGCTATCATTAGAAATCTCTAGGAGAGGAGAGAACTGCCACTCAAAATCCCTGAGAGAATAAACTCTCACTAGGAGACTCCATGAGAGGAGTGTAATATCTTTTGCTACTATAATAGCATTACCCTCAATTTGATGAGTACAAGAGTTTCAGATACTATCCTCATCCACCAAGCTTCACAAACAAACTGAAAAATGTAGAAAACAAATACGTCCATACAATGGTGAAGTACTTTTACATTTCGACATTGCAAGACAAGGTATATGACCAAGGATGAAATATGCAAAAAGATTCTTGAAGACCACAGGCTACGAGTCTTGATTAGGCACTTCTCTGCTGTAAAATTTTCCCACTACTCTGGAGTCCAGAATTTCAATGGCTTTCTCAGACTTTATGTTCTTAGGTGTCTTGTACTGGTTTAAAGAAGTTCCTTGAGAAACATAAAAGTCCATGAGCTCATTGAATGAACCTTGTTTGACAACTCTTACTTCCAAAGGGCCAATGGTGTTGCTCTGATTCCTCAGCATCTTATATTGCAGATCCAAAGATTGTTCCACTAAACTACAGCATTTTTCCATTTTAACCTGATCAAGTACAGGAAAGTCATCATTGGATCTCAGTTGAAGCTCCCAAAAGAGTACATAGTGACCAGGAATAGAGGATGTATCAGCATAGCTACTGTAATCCAAAAGAAAGAACCCAAGTGGTTCAAGGATATGCATTGCAATTGTAACTGCATTCTGGAGGTCTTGTTCAGTTGTTTTATCTGTATCAATGCTCAAAACCACATTTCTCCTTTGTACAAATTTGAATTGGGGAGTGATATTGTGAAAACCTGTCACCAGGAGAACATCCCCCATTCTGTACCTGTAGACACCAAATTTTTGTCAATTTTTAATATTTTCTCAAGATTTTTCTATTTAATAATTTATTTATTTTCTTACATTTTAATGTGCAATTTTCTTATTTTTTGCAGGTTTGTTTAGAAAAGAAAAAAAAGAGAAAAGAAAAAAGAAAAGAAAAGTAACATACAAAACACACTTCCTCAATTCACTCTCTCGAGGGTGGGACTGACAAGAAAAAACGGCATTTTGGGCTCAAAAAATATGTACTCTTTCGGCTCTGACACAGGGAGACGATCCCTTGGACAAAACAAACACAAAAACACTTTCTCTCCCAATAGACATCTCTCGGCTCTCTCCAGGACAGAACAAGGAAGAAAGGAAAAAATTTTCCCTCCCTCTCTCGGCTGGGCTCTTCAGACAAGAAACAAAAACAGACAAAAAAAAAAAGGGGAGGCTCTCGGCTCTCTCTCTTGTCTCAACCGAAAAAAAAAAAAAAGAAGCATTCTTCACTTTCTCCCTCTCTGGGCTTGGAACGCAGAAGAGAAACACGGAAGAAGAAGAAACCTTCGCCTGGCCTTTCCTCTTTTCCAATGTTTTTCCAACACACTCACAGGCATCAGAAAAACTTCAGCCAAGGCAATTTCACTTTCATTGAGGTACTTTCCAGTTTTTTTTTAAGGCATATGAGATACATTTTGGTTTTAATTTATCTTGCTTTTGCTGGTTTTTATTGTAATTATTGTGTTGCTGAAATTTGGGAAATGGCATGAACTAGATTGAGGAAAAGGAAATGTTTTTTATGTATGCATGTTAACTGTTTGAAAAAATGCCAAAAAATGGAAAAAAGGAATTTTAGGAGGCTGTTTTGCTTTATTTTAGCCCTTTTATGTTGTTTTCTTGTTAACTAAGATTATAGTTGTAATGTAGAAGCTATAAGGAGGGTTTTGGCATAATTTTTATGATTTTTGGTGGAGGTTTAAAGGTTTTAAGAAAATAAAAACTGGACTGATTTCTTGGTTTTTTGGTCACTTTCGGATCTTTTTTGTTGAAAACTAATACCGGAAATGGAATCTACGCGAAAAATGGAGTGGGGAGGTGTATTTTGAGAATTTTTGGTGACCGGTAGCGACGCCGGCGGCCGCCAGCTGAAGCTGAAGCTTCGGCTGGCCGAAGAAGAAAGAAGAAACGAGAGAAAGAAGAAGGTGAGGAAGAAGAAAGAAAAGAAAAGAAAGAAAGAAAAAAAAAAGGATTTGGGCTAATGTTTTATTTCGGTTGGGTCAAGAGTGAGTTTTGGTTGGGTTTTGAAAATGGGTTTTGGTTTATTTTCTTTTGGGTTTCTGTTGGGCTAAGAGTTTTGAGTCCATATATTTTGGTTGGGTTTGAGTGATAAAAGACGGGCTGGCCTGTGTGTTTTAGCTTGGGTTTTCAGTTGGGCTTAGGTAGGTTTGGCCCAAGTAAAATAAAAAGGGAGGCCCGATGCCCTCTTCTTGCCCAAATCAGAAACGAACTTGCACTTCAGTCCCTGTACTTTCAAGTACTTTCACTGCGGCCCAGAACATTTTAAATTCCTTTCAACTCGGTCCTTAAATTAATTTCACTTTGGTCCCTGAATTTTATCTTTCATTTAATTTGGACCCCTGAACTTTGGAAAATATAATTTTTGTCCCCCAAAAGTTTTCAATTTTTGTAATTCAGTCCTTGACAAATTTTGGCTCTCTTTATTATGATTGTTTCTTTTCTTCAATAACTAATTATGTTACTTTTGAACATATTCAACTTGTAATTTTTAGATATTTTAAATTTCTTTATGTTTGACATATTAGCGTGAGCTTAGTACTTTTATTATTATTGTTTTTTTTTTAAATTAAATTGGTGCCATGATTCTTTTGTTCATTGTGAGTATAAATAGGACAATTTGACTCCATTTAGTCACCACTTCAAAAGGGAGGTACCTCATTATTATTATTTCAATGTCAATTACGTGCTCTTATGTGCTCTTACGTGCTCCTATATGTTTATATATTTTTATATGCTTTGTTTATTTGATTTGAATGATCATTTAAATTTTCTTATACTTTTTTAGTTAATTTTATAATTATTTGAGAGGCATTTAAATACCTCAAAAATGTAATAGATAGGATAATTAGATTTGTTTTATTTTATTTCCCCTTTTAGATTGTAGTTAGGCGCTCCCCGATGTAATAGATAGGTTGTGTGCTTATGTGGCTTATGTGTTACGTGCCTTACTTGCTTTCCTTAGAATTTTTGCATCTAGATATTATGCTTATGTGTTACGTGCTACGTGCTCTTATGTGTTTATTTGTTTTAATTTATGTCTACTTGTCTTATTATGTATTAAAAATGCATGACGTCACCACACTAGTCCAACGCTAGTTGTGGTTTCTCCCTCCGTTTACTTGCTAGTCCAACGCTAGTAAGGATTTTTAGAAATGGGTTAGTCCAACGCTAGACCCTTAGATCGTTCGTGCGTTAGATTCATTTTTGTGTGATATTCATTACATTTTCACGCATATTTTCATTTTTAGGATCTTTTCCCATTTGCATGATATTTCCTATTATATTATCCCCTATCCTCTATATGTGTTAATCGTGTCATTTAGAATTGCATTTCATTTAGGATATTGTATAATAAGTTAGCTCATTTGTTTGTGCATATTAGGAGAATTATTTTTCAAATATGGGAAATGGGTGATTATAACTTTTTAGTTTAAATACCCCATTAATCCCTGTATAAGAAAATTATGTCACGAGTTTTTGCCTCCCATACCCTTTATGTTGCATTCCCTTTTTCTTTGATCACTTATATATGTATATAATTTAATTTCTTTTCTTTTATTTTAATTTCATCATTCACATACTCGTGACACTTTCAAGGAATCATTTTGGCCTTCGCAATTAATGCGATTGGTTCAATTAAACCCTTGAATGAACATGTTGCCCCTTTCGATATTTTTTTTATATTTAGATTTGCATTCATGTAGGAAACATCCAAATGTGATAAATTAAGGGTTAGATTAGGAAAATTTTGACTAAATCTCGCAACTAGTTTAGACTAGGTTGAAAGGGTGCCTTAGGTTTGAGTTAATCGAACCTTTGCCTTCCCTTTCTTCAACCGTGACTCCCGAATCCATTTTCTCTTGTTTTCAAAGACCTGGAGTTGTCAAAAAGGGTTTTATTTTATTTTATTTTACTTTATTTTTTGGGTGACTTGGTACACCAAAATTCCATACCAAGTGGCGACTCCTATTTTTTCTTAAAAACCCTTTTAGACTAAATTTTGGACCCAAATTGTCGCATTCTTTAAAGTCCCATTCTAGGTCCTTTTTCATTTATTTTAAAATAAGATTACATATTTTGTAAATACCTATTTTTATACTTATATTTTTCCATCACGAAAAATGGGGCGCGACAACTTGGCGACTCCACTGGGGACGTAAGAGAGTCCAAGCACTTGGTTTAGTCGTCTTTTCTCTTTTTAACCCTTATATTTATCATATTTGGATGTTTTAGGTTGCATTTTTCTCTTTTAGGATATTTTGCATTTCACCCTCGTATTCGTTTATTGTTCCTCGTATATGTGATGAATGATTTATTTATTTACTTATATGTATCGCGCATTGCATTTGGGGGTGGGGAATATTACCCTAGAGCCTCGCATTGGTTCTCGATCTCTCCCCTCCAAACCGAGCACTGGCATACGTGCATACGTTTTATTTTTTATCCCTTATTTATTTTTCTTTTAGTGGCTTGTCACGCCACTCTTCCCTGTTAGGATTAGGCGACCCACTTGGACGTGTGATCGCGACACGACGTGTGCGTAGCATGATCCGAGGGGTCACTCAATCTTCCATTTTAAGCTTTGGGTTGATAGCCTTTAGCTTTTAGTCGAAGATTGAGGATCTTTGATAGATTCACTTGGACATGTGGTCGTGGCACGACGTGCGCGTAGCAATGTCTGGGGAATCGCTCGAGCCACCGACAAAGAATCTTGGGGTTGATGACCTTTGGTTTTCAAGTCTGAAGGCTCGGGGACCTAAAACCTATCGAGTCTAGATGCATTAGTAAGCCAATACCTCATGCATCCATGATAGTTTACCTAAGGTAGAGTCTGTCTTACCCTATTAGGAACACTATTCACGAGGGGAGGGATCCAATCCCTCTTTTGTTTTTATTGTTTTATCTCTGTGTATTACTTTGCTACAATGTGTTATGTGAATTTATCTGATTGAACTAACTTTTCTTGATTTTTTGTCCCCACTGCATTCACAAACCTTAGAAATAAGAGTCCTGACGTGGTATTCGTTAAGGCAGACCACCCTTTGTAAATAGCACGTTTAAATTTTGATTTATCGCATTAATATTATGTATACGTATGTATTGCACATCATTTTAAGCTTACCTCGGCATTTAAATGAGGCACTTTAGGTCATATTTCAATTATTTCATTGTATATTTAATCGCTTTAATAAACTGGCATCATACATCAACTTTAGAGGGAATGCCGCATAGGGGATCCCACGTTAAGAATAAGCCACCTTTTGTCTCGGATATATAATTCAATGAGACTTGCACGTTTATATTTTTGTACCATCCAAAGTGGTAGTGCACAAGGTAAGGTAGGATTCGATCCCTTTCGTGTGACGGCATTGAGAATGATGGAACAGTTTTTACACATTAGAATATGAGCCTTTAATAATCACTTTTTGGTCATTTTATTAGAATTGGTAAAAATCCCTTGCGTAAAGGACATTAAGTTGAAGAAATTCACAAATTCCTCATTTGTTGAGATGATAAGTATATTAAGGCCAAATCTTGATTTTCGAAGGCTCATAGACTAATAAATCACAATGAATTTTTTAAAACTACTAAGGGGCAGACAATTCCATCGATTTTGATAAAATCATCAATTTCATTCAATCCATTTTTACATCTAAGATGATTGAATCGATTTTTTCATAGATCATTCGATCCTTACAATTTTGCTCATTTTTTAA